TACTATCTCCTTTTCACTTTTGAAGAAGAACAATGAGCTATCAGCTTTCGATTGCTTGAAATACCATCCCAGTAGAGTGTTCCTTAGCTTCTTATGCCAAGCCCTTGGAACCTGTCTTAGTCCATACATGGCTTTATCCAATTTGCACACAAAGTTACTATTTTCAGCATTTATGAATCCCTATGGCTTATTCATGTAAATCACTTCATTTAGCTTGCCATTTAGGAAGGTATTGTTCACATCTATTTGTCTGATTTCCCAAACTTTAGTCATAGTAAGTGTTAATATAATTTTCAGTGTTGATGCCTTCACTACAGGGCTAAAGGTCTCTCCAAAATCTATTCCAAGTGTCTGAAGGAAGCCCTTGGCAACTAACCTGGCCTTATGCCTTTGTACTCTGCCATCAGCATCAAACTTGAGCCTGAATACCTATTTATTTCCAATTATCTTCATTCCTGCTTCAGGTGGTACCAAAGTCCATGTTTCATTCCTTACCAAAGCATTATATTCCTCCTCCATAGCCTTTCTCCAGTTATCATTCTGCAGTACCTCAGTCACAGTTAAGGGCTCAGTTTCTTCAGTTCTCTCTACCACCTGATTCATATAGATCTTTGGTTTAAAGATTCCTGCTTTGCTTCTAGTAATCATTTGATGTCCTAAATTCTGATTCCTTCCTTCATCCTAAATATTTGTCTCAGCTCCAACAACACGTTCTTCTATTTGATTTGTGACCTCCTCATAATTAGTTTACTCTTCCTCATTCATCTCAACATCATTACTATCTGCATTTATTTCACTTTCTCCTTCTATTTTGACTTCTTCATCTGAGGCACCTGCAGCAAGTGTTGCTTCAGAATGTGATGTATCAGTGAGATTTTGAGGATTTTTATGATTGATGAAGGGAAGAAAGCTGTAGTGAGCATTTGAGGTTTGTGGCTTGAGTCTTTTGTTTAGAAACCCAGTTTTGAAAGGGAATTCTAGTTCATTGAAAATCATATTCTGGACACATAAATTCTACCATTCGAGTTTAAGCACTTGTAACCTTTTGTTGAATCCCCATAGCCAAGAAAGACACATTTTTTGGAGTGAAAGTCAAATTTGTATTTTTGATATGGTCTCAAGCATGGATAGTAGGTACAGCCAAACGTTTCAATATTTTATGATCAAAATCTTTGTTAAACAAGACTTGAAAATATGACTTGTGTTTGAGTACAGGAGTGGAAAGCCTATTGATTAAATTTGTTGCTGCCTTAAAGGATTCCCACCAATAATATAGAGGCATTTCAGCTTAGGCAAGGAGGGTTAAACCTGTTTCAGTAACATGCCTATGTTTTCTCTCAGCCCTCCCATTTTGTACAGAAGTATAAGGGCATAAATGCCTGAGTTCAATGCCAAATTCAGATGCTACTTTGTCAAAACTTCTATACTCTCCTCCCCAGTCAAACTGAAGTGCTTTAATTCTAGTTTCTAACTTGTTTTCTACTAGTTTTTTGAAATGGATAAAGATATTTAATGCTTCAGATTTGTGCTTCATAGGGTATATCCAAGAAAACCTGCTATGGTCATCAACAAAATTATGTAGTACTTAAACCTTGAAGTGGAATTTAATGGTGCTGGCCCCCAGACAACAGTATGTACAAGGTTTAGAGGCTTTAAAGCATGTGATGAGGCTAGACTGAATGGCAGTGCATGAGATTTTCCAAGTTTACAAGATTCACAAAAGCTTCGGATTTCATTGACACTAGTAATTTTATTAAATGACTTCAGAACTTGATTCAACACAAGATTTGAATGGTGACCTAGCTTCCTATGCCAAACATTAAGTTCTGATACACGCATTTTGGCACTATTGGATGACTCATCACAACTTGTGCTCACAGTGAGGGATTGGAATTATTTTGAAGGTTTGACTCTAAAACACTTGGTTCAGATTTAGCACTTGGTAGCCTCAATTGATACAACCCATCCTTAAGCATTCCTTATAGCAGTGTCCTCATCGTTTGCAGGTCCTTCACAACACAGCAATCAGGAAAGAATTCTATGTAAACATTATTATCATTTGTGAACTGTGAAACGCTTATTAGGTTCTTTTTAATTGAAGACACATGCAGCAACTTTTGCAAAGTAAGATGTTTATCTTTTGTAAGAATATCCCTATTTCCAATATGTGAGATTTGCAATGATGTACTACTATTAGTCTCTCCTTACCTTCATACTTTTTAGCATTGTGCAGCTTACCTTTATCAGAGGTTACATGGTTGCTGGCACCTGAGTCTGTAAACCATACTGGATCTTCAAATATTCTAGGTGAAGCCACATATGCAGAGGGTACTGGGCTGTTGTTTTGGTTGCTTTGATTGCCTGGTTTACTGCCCATATATCTATCATCATACCTATTGTAGCACCAACTAGTAGAATGATTGTTTAGGCCACAGATTTGGCAAGCACCTCTACTTTCATTTTGCCTTCCAACTCTGCCTCTGCCTCTCATTCTGCCTCTGAAGTTTTGTGACCTGCTGTTCTTGAAAACTCTGAAGTTTCTGCCATTTCCGGAACTAGATCTCTGTGCCAATTGTACACTTGATTGGCCAACATTCATTGATGAAAATTTGATTCTCACTTGGTTTAGATACTCAAGCCTACTTTCAAATGTCATTAACACAGAAGGTAACTCATGCCAAGATATGTCATCACGGCTATTCAACTGTACAACTATAGGTGTATATTCCTCATCTAATCTTGACAAAACTTGGGCACAAGATCAGCATGGCTAATAGCCTTTCCAGCTATATCCAAGTTTTTAGCTAGTTGTTTAACACTTATCAGGTATTGATCTATAGACATGGATCCTTTCCTCGTTCTTTGCAGCACTCCAGTGAGGAACACCACTATGGATTTGTTCAAAACTCCATAGCTTTCTTCTATTGCTGTCCACAATTTGTCCGAGTTGTTGCATCTTATAACTCTCATGGCAATTTCTGGCATCATAGCTGAGTATAACCATCCCATCAGCAGTTGGTCTGCTGAAATCCATCGATTATATTCTGGATTCTGAGTCATTTCAACGACTTCTCCTTGTCCAACAGTAGTTTGTGTTGCCAGGAATTCTGGTGGACACTCTCTTGTTCCCAGTAGGATGCCATCAAGGTTATGTCCTTTAACTATGGGCATTATCATATTCTTCCATAACAAATAATTGTTGCGATCGAGCTTCACAGATGGAGTTTGATTCAGGTTCATTCCAATTGATGGAATTTAGTTCACAACAGCTGGAGCTAGTGGCAGCCCGCTTAACTCAGTTGGGTCGGATTGATTCCCTGTGCCGGTGTTAGCCATTTCCAAAGCTCTGATACCAAAATAGAAAAATAATTATATTTTATCAAAATGAATTGTTATCTTCAGCTGCAATACAACTCTATATATAGCAATGTAATACAAGATGATTCTAGAATTTGTTTGCCAGGTTGCCTAACTGAATTGAGCATCTTTCATCAAATTTAGGAAGTGTGAAATGTTGCATTATTAATTCTGTTTTACGGTTCAGGTAGGCAGCAATATTCCAATAGTACTTGATCTCAACCAAGTGCCATGAACATTTTTATTCCTTCGCTCATTCATTGTAACTGTAACTCGGTCATGGATTTTCAAATTTCCGGCAGATAGTCCAAAAAAATAATGCATCCCAGATAGAGAACAAGCAAGAGTAATCCACTTGAATTAAGAACAAGCATTCTTAACTTCACGCCAAATAGCTTCAGATATGGGTGGATAATCTTACGGAAGGTACACAGAAAAGGGACAAGCGCCAGGAACATTTTAATTCCTTCGCGCATTCGTTGTAACTGTAACTCGGGCATGGATTTTCAAATTTCCGGCAGATAGTCCAAAAAAATAATGCATCCCAGATAGAGAACAAGCAAGAGTAATCCACTTGAATTAAGAACAAGCATTCTTAACTTCACGCCAAATAGCTTGTTCAAAAGACGAGATTGTTACTAGAGCACCAATTTATTTTTGAATTCTTCAAAGGCTTGAAGAAATAGTCTTACTTTAAAAGTATCAATGAAGCATCACGTCTTTTACTATATCTTGAACTCGATTGAGCCTCAGCTTTAAACTATAAGGGCAAAAAATTGATTTAAAAAATTAATTCGTATCTTGATTTCTTACATTACTTATAGGTAAAGTAATCATCAAAAAAAGGAATTAATTCTTACCTAACAATCTACAATAAAAGTGGTAAGAAGATTAGTATAAAATACTAAAAAAAATAAAAAAATTGTAGATTTGTATAAGGCCAATATAAAGAAACATAAAGTTAATTTATCATATCCTTAAATTTTCATTTTAAACAAATCTGAAAATATATAAGATGATATAAAACCTAAAATATATTAACCATACTTGTATATTATGAAATCGGATCATATTATATAAGAAAACACAATAAAAATCACAGGTCAAATACTCTGGACGAATCTGCTTACTAGCCCGGTTAGTCATGACTGACTACTGCCTAACCTGTGCATTTATCTCAATGTTTGACGTTTAAAAATTATATATATATATTAAGAAGCCCAATATGTAAGAGTTGTAAAAACAACAATCTCCCCCTTTAGCTTTACTTAATTACAAAATCTATCACTCGAATTTTTAATATCATGAATGTGCGATAAATGTGAGCGTGATCAAATTCTTTCCTACTACACTCCCAAAGCAATAACTCCCCCTAGCCAACACATCCAACACAATCACATTACAGCACAAAAATCAATCAATCTTGCTACACATACATTCTAGTTGACATTCTGTTTTATATTTTATCATGTGACATACAATTTTATCATTAATTTCTCCAACACTTAAACAATCAACGATCTCAATTTTGCCACATATTCAAATGTCATCTGAGTTGTACATTAATAATGTACAAGCAGCATATCAAAATTAATTACTACCCCCTCTTTTGTAATATAAGAAGTAGCCAAAGTTATGTAAGGATGGAGAAATATAAAGAAAGCACGGGTAGCGTTATGCTTACACTACAATCATCTATAATTAAGTTAAAAGAGCTAAAAAGTCAGAACCAATCAAGTTGTGGACTTATTGGATTTCTTTGCACCAGACTTAAGAGGAATCGCCACTTCTCTTGCGTGTTCTTGCAAGAGGAATGGCAGCAGCAGTCTGACCTGGAGCCTTAGTCGAACTAGACAAAGTGTCACACCACATCAATTCCTTATCTCTATTGTGTATATTGCGTAAAATCAAATCTCGAGGCTTCCCACACAATAAGTGGGTTCAGAGCCCAACAATTGTCAGCCAAGAAATTTCCATACTGGATTGTTACGAAGACGTGACTCTAAGGTCATGTTTGATAGACATTATTTGTCTTGGAGGTGAAAAATAGAATTCCATTTTCCACAAAATAAAGTGTTTGATAGACAATATTTTGCTACCTAATTCTTTTCCTACCTAGAAGCCACGCGCCTCCTTTTCCTTGGTGGGAAAATCATTTTCCAGGCTGCTGAATTTTTTTTTTTTTTGCAATGGAAACAAATTTCATAACTAATTGTAAAAAAAAAAATTCACTTTAATGGACAATTTTCATATAAAACAAAGCTAAATGAACACTAAATTTTGATGAAAAAATGATTTTTTAGGAAATATTTTTTTTCCTTTTTTTTTTTTACTTTTTGGCAATGGAAACAAATTTTATAACCAATTGTGGAAAAAATTATCACTTTAATGAACAATTTTCATGTAAAATAAAGCCAAAAATCCAAAATTTCAAAAAATTTCAGGGTGGAAAATTATACCAATGAAACACACGTGAAATCATTTTTCCTGCAAAATATTTTCTAGACAAATCTTTTCCCAGTAAAACATTTTGTTTCCACCAATTTTTTACCATCCCAATCAAACGCAACCTAATACTTCTATTTTCCAAGTCACTTGACAACGATGAATGATGCTTACAGGTTTGGAGTGGTTCTATTAGAATTACTCACTGGGAAACGGGCAATGGATAAGAACCGTCCTGCTACAGAGCAGAATCTGGTGAAGTGGGAAAGAAATTTTCTGAAGGATCCTCATAAGCTAGACAGAATACTGGATCCAGGACTTGAATGTCAATATTCAATTGAAGGCGCCAAGAAAGTGGCTGCATAGCCTGCATTGGCTTTTCAATGCTTGAGCTACAACCCTAAATCCAGGCCAACAGTGAATAAGGCTGTGAAAATCTTGGAGCCTGTCTTGGAATTAAATGACATCCCAGTTGGTTCCTTTGTGTATATTGCTCCCACAGAGTGTAAACTAAAAGAGAGTGATCCAAAGGAAGTACAACATAAAGAAATTAATGAGGGAAAATTGCAAGGAAATTGGGATGAAACACAATCAAGAAAAGGAAGAAAGAAATAAAGAGAGGGAATGAAACGATAAGGAATGAAATGAAATCTCCCATGTCTAGATGGTATTGAGCTGGAACAACCTGTTCTATTCTCATTATGAACACAACAGGGCAGCGACACAAACTTAGTAGATAAAATGTCTATGAGGTACTAAGTTTAAACAAGGAAAAATTGTGATCAAATTTGTTTCAAATCTTCTATTCTTCTTTACTTTTTTCTTTCGACATTCAAGTTTGTTGGCTTAATGTTATGTTCCCAGCTTACTAGTTATATATGCAGACCAGACCATGATCTTACAAAAGAACTCAATTGTTGATTCTTACAGAGCATCACTTCCCCTTTTTTTGCTTGTTTGGCTGTTTCCAGGCTATGTTTGATCCAGCACGAGTAACGTGCTCTGTAAAAGAAAAAGGAGTAACGTTCGTGCAAATTTGAAATCATTATTATTATTAAAACAAGTACTTGTCCTTGCAATGGTTGTCCATACATGGTCATCTTAACAGTTAACTCAGATATTCTCGATTAATGTCTTTGTTGTCAACGATGACATGACATCAATGGCACATCCCAATGGCCATGATGCTTCAACATGGGAATTCTTGTACTTCACATCTTTAACCACTGCAACCTTTTGAGAGGCATTCAGATCTGTCCAATAAACATTTCCAAGTCAAATTATGTTGTATTCGTATAATTAATGTCGTCTTTTGACAGTGTTAATAGCAATTGCAACTCACCAAATCCATCCACAAGCAATGTGTAAATGTATACAAGATCCATGCACAAATACGGTCTACTGTCCTCTTGCACGTTAGGAAATTCAGATATAACGTTGCTAAATTTAGTTGCACATGCCCTCTTTGCTGTGTCCTTGTAAGCATTCACAAGAATTCTTCCAGCAGTGGCATTCTGTTTTAGAATTCCAGACTATATAGGGATGGAAAAAATAAAATTAGTAAGCAATTAGAGAAAATAGAGAGATCTTAATGCTGGAATAAAAATTTTGCCAATAAAACTGAAAGATTAATTATATATAAACCGTACATCCAGTGCTGTCCAGTAAAAAGACGACGAAAGATACAAATTCTTCTCGCCATCTCCACCTCCACCATTCCAAATCCCATTGAATGTGCAACTGTCATATTTGCATGGTGCATTGATTTTAAGGGCCTTCCTAGTTAATATCTGACATCTTTTCATATTTGTACCAGTTCGAGGAGCTGATACTTTATAAACAACTCCTCCATATGTGTAGGTACCTTAAAAAATCAACATATCATCGTCATTTTCTTCGAATATTTTTTTTTTTTGTAAAATATGTAAACACGAAGAGCACAGATGGAGATCGGGAATATATACCATCATATCCATCCAAAATGCATGGATTCGTAGAGTTTCGAGAGGCCTTAAAAATCTCAGCTCGAGCTGCCTTGCTACCGTATTTCAAGTAACTATGTAAGCGTTACATAGAAATATATACACATTAGTATCACAAAATGGCTTTTGGAATCTTTAAATCATATTCTCAAGAAGCTTTATAGAACCGTGAAAGATACCTGTGAACATAGAGGTTGTAATTTGTTCCCTTGAGATTCTTTTGCAGCAGGTAAGTTTCATTTGTTGCTGCCTGGGGAGCCTTTGCTGCATTTTCATCCGAGATTGCATACGCCATTTGTACAGATGCCCCTCCAAGATCAATTGTAGCTACTGTTTCAGCATAATTTTTTCCCAGGGTATTTAATAAGTAGTTTATGGTCGCCTGCATATCAACAAGGAAAAGATCACATGAATTTTAGGATGAGTGAAGTCATTAATTATAAGTAATTCAGCCATTTTCAGGTGAATCTGACTGAAAAATGAGATGTTGAAAATGATAAAAATATATAACTCAACTTACCCACATATAAGTTCCTTCCTGGACTCCGTCAAGAATAGACACCCAGTCATGCTTGTATTTCAGGTTGCTTTCATTCTTGAATAAATTTCTTACCTGTTATAAGAAAATTACAGTCAAAACTCTAAGCCAAGAATACTTTTAATACTATATATAAGAAATAGATAGAGAAGAAAAATGATTTACGTACCACGTCCAAAATTTTTTCAGCTGCATCACCTTGTACCAATCTCAGACCTGCAGTTGCCTGCATGCACATATATATATATATTGAACTAGAGATTTAGTATTAAATTAAGAAGGGTAAAATGAAGTGTCAATTGAAGTGCTCATTCTTCATGTATATATATCCCACCCCAAGTCTTGCTGGTGTGTCCGGCTGCAACTCTATTGGAACAACAGCCTCGGCTTTCTCCAGGAGGGGTCGTAAAGAGCTCGCGGCTGCCTGAGGATCGGCTGCATATGAACTCAGACCAGGCTTTGTCTGCAACAAAGTATAAAATGAAGTAAAATTACGTACCTGCAGCTGAATATTTAAACTGAAAAAACAATGAAAGATTTGAGGATAAATAACCAAAATTTAGCTTAGGGGGCTGATGTGTGACCGTAACGAAGGTTTAAAACCCAAGTCCAAGAATTGTGTTATTTTTCAAAAAAATAATATTAAAGTCCGTTTAGTGAACATAGATTAGGTAACAGCATACCGATACATAGAGCTCAAGCTCATTGCCAATAGGAAGGAGATCTTGGTTTTGGTCGAAGCGGAATACATGCACTCTGCTCCCGGTACTTCCAGCATCGAATATGACAGCATACTTGTCCGAGTCATGACCGATGAGGACACGGCGGAAAGACGACTTGTGTCGGTGATGATCAGCGTGGGAATGATGACCGGAGTAGGACAGTGAACCGATGGGTAAGATGAAGAGCACCATGAAGAGGAGGCCATGTCCAGCCGCTTGCTTCGTCATTTTTCTCCTCGTCCAATTCCCTAAATTAAGAATGTGTTAGAACATCATACAGCATGAAGTAAATAAATTTTACTATCACTAGGTATGCATTTGGTTAGATTCATATCTTGAAATCAAAAGCTAACAATTAGCCATATGCTCGAATTATTCTGCCAAACTAAATCAAGAAATCAAATAAGATCACCTTGTCTGGTTGAGTAATCTTGAGATGCAAAATGCACACTTGGTATGGTAAATATTTATACATGCGAGCCCTGACCAATTCCAACCAATAATGCAATTTTAATATGAAAAAGGACCCGAGATAAAACTCGTTTTTCGAGCATGGAACATTTTTTTTAATATGTGCGTGATTCATGCAAATGTTAAATATGTATATTTTCATAAAATATATCCACCTAACATGAATATTCGTTCACGCATTATAGAAATGTAAGGAAAAATAATATAAATTCTTGTTGTTGGCTTTTCTTAATTGGAAATGTTATCGACAAAATCTGATATCGATACGGTGCTCTCTAACAATTCAATTTTGTAGATTAAATAGTTGAACGACAGAGTCTCCCAAGATATACGAAGATGTTAAGGTAACCTTAAGTTTCAAGGTCGTCTGGTCTAATAATTGAGTCTTAAATGATTTAACATTTTTAAACGAGTTTTCGGATTTATAAACTAAAGCCACGTAGACAAATGTATTGAGTAAAACTATTTTGCCTTCAAAAAATTTAAGGTAATGTCCAATTTTTGCAAAAAAATTCAAAAAATATCTAGTGAAATTTCTCATCATCATCATAGTCGCATTAAGACTATGAACTAGTATAATTTCTGTCTATTTGGGAACCAAAAGGGTGTTTGGTGGAGATTAAAATTTGAAATTTGATTTTTAGTAGATTGCGATACAAGTTTTTGAAATGTGTGGTTGAAAAGTTGTGGGACCCATGAATGATGTGGTTAATATTGATTGTTTGACCTTGACTTGGATTAATTAAAATCGAATTTTAATCCAGATCAAACATGTGCTAAATTGTAAAGATTTACTTTAGGATTTCGCTTTGGTCTAATCGAAATTGGTAAAAATATGCCGTATTAGGCATTACATTATCATTAAATAATAAAATAGTGCTACATAATATTATCTTATTATCTTGACAGTAACACGTGTCTAATATCAGTAGTAGGTTTCTTGAAAGGATAAGAAGAATTGAGAGGCAAGAGTGACTACAAGCAATTTTATACATAGGTTAACATTTTTATATAATAAGTTAGTGAACATCGAGATCGGGGATTCTGCTTAATTAATTAAGATTGGGAGTAGGTTTCTCGAAAGGATAAGAAGAATTTTTATAATATAATTAACATTTTAATATAATAATTATCGAATTTTGCTTGATTTATTTAAGCGTGACACGTGAATCACTTCTATACAAAGATTGCGAGGAAGATACGAACTTGTGTTGTATATAATATATGCACGCTTATTGGCATCTCGAGGCTAAGAATATAAATTAAGGAGATTTTTTTATTATTTTATAAAAACACATGTATCAACTAATTGGGAAGGTCTTTTGTTCGCACTTCATTCAAAACTTCAGTTAGTATTAACATAATCCTACATGTGAGAATAACACAGAAGTTGGTGTATGCATTATTGTTGTTGGATAATGAAAAAATATTTATCCTTTCACTTGAGAAATCTTGTCGAGAGATGGCTGTATAGGCAACTTGCTGCAATGATTTTTTTTTTACAATTTGTGGTTTGTAGTGATAATTAAAATCAGATTTTTAGTAAATTTTGATAAAATTGATGAAATTTGTAATTAAAAAAATTGTGAATCCCATAAAATATATAATTAAAATAATTTTTAATTTAATTTAGATTAAAATATACCCTAATCAAACAAGGATTTAGTCACATGACTCACATCAAAGGATCAAAATTCCCTTAAAAGAAATGAAAGGATCAAACTATAAATTAAATTCAAGTTTCATTAGGTGGACCTTGGCTATGACTGCAGGTGTAGAGCCAATGGGACGAATCAGAGGACAAAATTAGTGTGGGGAAAAATTTGTAGGGAAAAAAAATAAAATAAAAAAATCAGGTTTTAAGTATGGACCAAATCAATTTTCAGATATTAAGTTTAAAAATGCAAAAATAGGGTTTCTATTTTAATTTTAAGAGCTTGGTTGGGAGAAATTTTTGAGGGAAGAATTGATTTTGAATAATGATATGATGGGAAATGTGTGGTTGAAAAAAAAGATAAGATTATTGATGTGATAGAAAATATTATATTATTGAAAAATATGTGGTTGAAAATGAGAATTTGATTTTGAATAGTGATATGATGGGAAATGTGTGGTTGAAAAAGAAGAAAAAATTATTGATGTGATGGAAAATATTATTTTATTGAAAAATGTGTGGTTGAAAATGAGAATTGATTTACTGTAGAAAAATTTAATCACTCCCAAACAGGGCCTAAATAATAGTATTATCAAATTAATTTAATTTATCCACACCTTGACACCCACACCACTAAATAACCGCACCACTCCACCCTTCAGCAACCACCCGCCGCTAGAATCCACCCACCCGACATCTACCTCGTCGGCGATTTCTTTAACGATGAACTGATCGTCGATCGACAGCTAATGAACATCAGTGAATACTAATCATCTTCTTCATTCACGACTTAGTAGTGCTGGTATAATTGAAAATGAAAAACAACTCCTTGTATAATTTACAGAGTACTTATCGTAACTTAAATTCTCACCATCGAAATCTGGTTAATTGAATTTGTGACCAATTAGGATAACTAAGGTTGAAGAAATCAATGACATGTGACCATATCTCTTGAATTTGTCACATGGAACTTATGCACTTCGATATATGACCCGTGACCACCAAATCTCTTGGATTTGGGACTTGTGATCTAAGCCAATGGTCAGTGACCAAATTTCTTGAATTTGTGACATATGCACTTAGCATGTGATCTGCGACCTAATTCAATAGTGTGTGAACAAATCTCTTGAATAAATGACCTGTGACTCATGTGCTTTAACATGTGCTCTTGTTATATGTGATCGTGACCTGGTCCAATGACCGATCAAATTTCTTAAATCTATGACCCGATCCAATGACCTGTAACTAAATCTCTTAAATATGTGACACGTGACCTATGCACTTTGACATATGATCTGTGCATTTGATAGGTCACATATTCCAAAGATTTGGTCACAAAAATTCAATCGGCTATAACCTATACACCACTGTAGACACAATGCTACATGATAGATCGAATCCAACCCAACCTATAATGGGACCACCATACGCGCTCTCGAATTCACACGCTGACCAACGCTATTCAGCAAGCTCCAAAGTAATCAGTTTCTCCCTTAATACTATACCTAAAATAGTACAATTACTATAATCTCACCCTATTCGGCTTATGGCTCTGATATCAAAATATTTGTAGTAAGTCATTTTGAATCAGCTTGAGAGAGATAGATTTGAACAATAAAATGAATACTAAGTATAACGTTTTGGTCTAAGTTTTTGACTAAAAAAAAAATATTTTTGAAATAAAATATTTGAATTACAAATATGAGCTTTTGAAAGTTTGTATTGAATATTAAGTTTTTACCACTGACACCATTCCACTTATTTCTAAAATAAATTAAAATAAAATAAACATTATTATACCAGGATACTAAGAATTTCGGAGCTTAGATTTGGACTTCGAAACTTAGACTTGATGCCTTGATCTTGATTTAATTCGAAGAAGATTTTGATTTTCTTGGATTTGTTTGATTTGAAAAAGATTTTGATCTTCTTCCTATTCACCGAACTTGGAATTGAGATTATTTCTTCTCTTCCTTCAGTTTTGAGATTTCTTCATCATTTTATGATTTTCTTCTTCACATTTTCTCTCCTTTTTTATGAACTTTTGGTCCTATTTATAGGGAAAATTCGTGATCAATTTTGGTAATCCCTCAATTAATTCAATTATAATGATTATAATCGAATGATTGTAGATTTTGAAATAGTGGGATGTGCCTTTAAAATTTTATGGGCCTTAGTGGACTTTTAGTTTAGCAAATTTAATTGGACTAGTTATTTAAATTGACCCAACTCATTATTTGTTATTTTATTTATTTATTTATTATGTCTACAGTATAATAGTCATTTTACGATTTTTAATTAGGAAAATGAATGAAAATGACATTTTACGCAATGAAATGTGAAAATAAGAGTGAAATGCCAAAAAAAAAAAAAATGAAATGTAAGGATGTTTTCCACAGTAATCGTGAAAGATGAAGACGTTATGTGCTAATTACCTATTGATTAATTATTGACACTTCATTTTAAATTAATATATTCAACTTTTCTCTTACTACTCCTTAATCTTTATGCTTAAAAATAGGTGATATTTAAATGTAAAATGATAGGTCCTAATTGATGTATACTAAAAATTGGATCTTTTTTTTTTTTGATCGGTAAATAATTAATTATATTGATCAAAGCGAAGTTACAAATACTCCGGACAAGCCGGGGCAGTCAACAATACATAGAAACAAAGGGCCCAACCCCCTAAAGTGACGAAACAAACAATAGACTATCAAGACATAATAAGCGATTCATAACAAATCAAAACATTTGGATACAAAGTAAACATAACTTTGTATACATTTGTTTTGATTCGTCAAACAATGCTCTCCAAGTGAGGAATAAGGTTTTCAAAAACTTTCCTATTCCTAGCCATCCAAATATGATAAACAGCACTAGCAAGGCCAATTCTCTTAGCTTTGTTCCTCCATGACGTACCTCTTGCTTCCTTTCTCATCCATTTAAGTGCAATTGTTATGGTAGACATGACTCTAGATATACCCAACCATTCCTTAATGTTTTCCCAAATTTGCGATGTGAAGGAGCATTCAAAGAAAAGGTGTCTGACCGATTCCTCACATGAGTTACAAAAGCTGCAGTTTCTGTCAATTTCCAGGTA